CATATAAATGTACCAACGGCCATCAGTCAACAAGCGACTAAATGTCAATAAACCATAACTTTTGCATGTGCAACGGTGTATTAGTTTACGAACTCTGAGTAATGTTAATTACGCAATTACACACTTAGCAACGCATACATATCAAAAATTAATTTAAAGAAAGCCAAATATAAACGTAATATGCAGTTTTACTTAATCACTCAAATATTTAATTTATTTAAAAAGTTTTATGATGATTCTTTTTCGATAAATCTTATCGCATTAATAATTAATATCTATGCAATCATTGGCAATAAAAGAAATTAATTATCAAATTTACGTAGCAACTTAAAAGATTTCTTTGTAATAATCAATTTTTCGATATCAGCTGATTAACATTCTACACTATTTCTTTGTTTAAAATATAAGATTTCAATGCATAGATATATGCCGTAAGTTAATTTTCTTAAATATTTAGCGTATCGAAAACAATGTAGATTGTTTTGGTTGGAAATATTAGGGATCAAAGTAGAACAGCGATTATTTTAGACTCAAGACGTGAATAATTAGGAAGCTATTTAACATCGAAAATTAAAGATGCTTGGCGAATTAAGTTTCAAGAGTGCAAGTACTCTTATTCCGCAATTAATTTTAGGTAAATTTTACTTTAATAGAAGTTTAACATGCAGCTTAATTGCCACGATATTAAACCTTAAAAATTCACGGGAGAAATGCTGTTTTCTCAGGCAATCCTTAAGAAAAAATTGCCTTGGGATTCGTTATGAAATCAAATAAATACTAAAAAAGCCATAATCCGAAAAAGATACGCGAGGTCTAGAACAACCTGCACATCGTATATCTAACTGTCACATAACGCGATTATAAAAAAAGACATTGAGTTACTTTACTGGACAGCGTTGTGCAATTTCAAAGGATCCAGCGTTTCATTCCTAACGAGGTTTCCTGAGAATTTTCTTTCTAATGGAATGCTTTCTAGAAATAGTATAGCTTGTCGGACATAAAATAATGAAGTGATGGAGGAGTACATTGTGTTACTCGCGATTCCGTGTATGTTCATGTGCAATGCACACGTAGTTAGGTAATTCAATAATTACGTTCACGAGTTATGCGACTTTGCTGTTACTACATATACAAATCTGTCAAGGGACAATGTACTTGCACTAATTCAAATTTACACAAGTTCCTCTGTACACAAATAATACGGTCGCGCTCGCTAAATGTGCGACGCAAATTATTTTTAATTTTGATTTATTGAGTGCAATTGACGTATTCGCGTTGTGGAATGCTGAATGATCGCCAGACTCAGCATTTCTGTTTTCCTATTTTGTGCGAAAGATGCAACAAAGATATGAAACGGGAGGGAGAACAGCATTTCTGATATTCAAGCATTTTTCCAGTACCTTATGTAGAATCGTGCCGTCGCACTTTAAGGCGTTATAGACCGTTCATTGAATCTCCTCGATACGGAGTTGCGAAATAAACTCTTTTCCTTTCGAAGCAAGAGATGATAATACGTATTCCAAGAATAGCTGTCGCGACACGTAGGTTTTGTAATTTCAAAATATGAATTCTATTGAAATAGTTTTCCCTTAAATTCTTAGCACGCTCGCGCGGCTGCAATAAGAAAAAAAAAATACGTCAATTTAATCGCCCAATGTCATCGCATATTGGAATAATAATAATGAAATTGTTTCTCATAAAACATAAAAACATAAAATATATTTTTGAAAAATTAAATAAATTTTAATTGTATATGCATGCATGATACACATATGTGTAAAATATAATAATACTTCCGCACACTAAAAATTTATAAATGTTATTTTGTTTTGTTTTACATTGTAAAAAAGGCTAAAATTATGACTGCAATGTTTATTACGCTATTAGATGTACAAAAGGATAAAATAAATGTGTTATGTACGTATAATAAAATTCACATCATATCGAAAAATAGGGAAAATTTTTCGCTAAACAAAACAGAATATACGCTAACGTAAAAATATGGCAAAATGTAATTTTGAGATTATTAAATACTGTAGCGCGCGATACAAGAAAATATTTCCAATTAAATCTTTATGTATGCGATAAATAAAGTCCTGGTTTAAAGCATATTCTTTAATCAATAATTTAATAAAAATAAAAAGGTACATTTCAACAGAAAAATATCTAGCGTCCAACGGTTCTTCAAACCACAATGAAGGTAACCTGTCACCAGTCGCATCAGTTGTCCATACCATCGATTGTATTTTATGACATAAAGTATTCTTTTGCGGTTTTTGACGCGTGTTATTTTTTTAAAAAAGGCAAAAGTTGTTATCGAAGCGTGTCAATTTTCCAAATATTTAAAAAAGAGAAACAAAAATAATTTAAATAAATATCAAATTTTTCCGAATTTCACACATTTTCGAATTTCTTTTGGTAAAAATTTATTAAAGTTCTATAAAACGCGAAGGAAAGATTTACCAACATATATATTTTTATATTTGATTTTCGTTTTTATAATAATGTCTTGATATGCAACAGTGTGTAATGAGCGCCGCAGCGAACGGTGCACGCACAGTACAAAGAATCCAACTAAGATAATACGCTCTGTGCGTTGCGAACTTTATGCGTACAAGTATGCAAACAAGTATGCGTGCAAGCTCTTTAACTATGTTCTGAGAATTTTGATTTGCAAATAGTGCAAATAGTCCTGTAATGCACAACTCGCGCAAACTTAATGCCACATAGCACTGCGAAGTCTTTGATTTCCCGCAGTTTACAGGAAAGGCATTGTAGAAATCTCGAAAGAATCTACTAGACCCGACAATACATTTAGTAACTTGTAGCAAGAAAATTTAAAGAGCTCAACGGACAGATATATGGCGAAATTACTATCTCGCCGTCGGTCGTCTTTGAATAAATCGCGAGTTCTCCATCCAATAGCATAAATGCCAAAGTGGAAACCTCCAGGTGCTCGTAAATCTAATTGGTTATTCTGGACTAGATTCACCCGACCAATAATGTAAATTTAAAAATATATCGTAAAGATAAGAAAACGATTGATCGCCGCAATAAAATAAAAGTGGAAGAGAAGATTTGGAAACAAAGATTGCTTTTCCAAATGTCGTTATAAACAAAAATATCATATTCAAGAACTTCGAGATAGTATTTTGTTTTATATCGTAAATTTAATAAAAAAACATCAGGCATTATCTTATATTAATGAAAAATGTACTGTAGTAAAAGTGATGTTTAATTTATAAGAAATTATTTTAATAAATATTTAACATGTACAATTACATTTTTACTGAATAAATGATTAATAAATATATAATATTTGTAATATTTATCATACATGTATGATAAACAATTTGATTAATATTCGTTGTGGAATCCATCAGTTATGCGTATTAAATGAGTGATTTGCAATTCACTTTATCGAATTTGTTTGTGACGCAATTATCTATGGAATGCAAAACGACACACTTTTAATTACACGAATTTAACTTTAAATTTTGCGCGATAAATTATATCCGTTGATGATGCCGGGATGATAAACTAATTTCCGTAATGAACGACGCGCAACTTCTAATTCTGCGCAACGTATATAAATCTCCCATATGGAGTTTTGCCAACTATAGTTTGGCCTCATAGTCTTCAATTCATATTTTTTTAAATATCCCAAATTTACATCATTGTATAAATAAATTTATCGAAATAGTTTAGACAAATACTTGAATACTTTAGATATATTATCATTCATAATTGTACAGAGAGTTATGAGCTCTTGCACAACATCTACGCATGCAAATCAAGATGAGATAGTCAAATATATATCCTGCCGAACGAACATGCGCGACAAGCTGATATCAATTCAACGATGAAGAGGGTGACACACGGATCAGATTCAATAGGCGGATCAAACGCGACAGAGTTAATAACGGTGACGAGAGAACTTTCACCGCCAGCTGTGCATTTTGTCGCGGGAATATGCATAGCTCTTTGAACGCTTTGACTTCTGACATTGCATTCTGCAAATGTGCATTGCAGTTATTCAATTTTTTAAATTTAAGATATTTCGCAAATAAAGCGCAACATGTTAAAAATTATTTTCACAATACTTTTTAAACATTAATTTGATAATTGCACTAGCTTAAACATAAAATGTTTTATTATGAGATAAAGTTTTCCTTTATAGTTAAAAAAGGTTTACAAAAATTGAATATTTCAGTTTGCATTGTCAGAGACAAAAATAAATAATTGGAGCGGTTATTTGTTAAAATGTTTGAATTAAAAATTATAATGTCATAAAAAACGATAGCTTTAGCTCGCGTGCACTGTACTTCTTTTTATGATGAAAAATATGCGCGTGAAACTAGGTCGCAGTCTCTTTTTTAATACAACTCAATAAATGAAACATTTTTATGAGTCAATTGCTCTTAGAAAAAATTCAATGGAAAGTTTAAAAAAATATGATAGCTTTTGTACCAGTTTTAATTATGCATTGGTCAATTTGACAAATTCGTATTCATATAAAAATTAAAACATTATATAAAAGCTTTTACATTTCTTCAGTGGAGATGAGAGATACGACTGCTGATCCAATTTTGCCCAGTTTCAAATATAAGCTTGAAATTCTCCAAAAATGTTAACAAAAAACCCACGAGACAATTATAACTCTAATTTCCCGTCACAAAATCATATCGTGACTGTGAGATTATATAGCAAAAATTAGTTACGTCGTTGGTGTGGTTAAAAAAATTGTTTTCTTTTCGCACAGCCATTAAAGCTGAAAAATATATTGCGCAAGTATTAAAATCGTTATAATTAATTTCTCGTGTACTCGAATTATGTACCAAATTTAATATAATAAAAAAAAAACCCTCTGGATTTTCAGAGCGCATGGCTAATTCGCTCATGCGTAAAGTCATAGCCTTGGGTAACGAGAAAGTGGCAGTCTGCCTTGTGCAAGTGCGGAGTTTCGTGACACCGAGTAATACCATGGAGCATGTACTTACACACTACGGTGAGATTCTTCGAGACGGAGGCCGTGGAGAAGGTCGGCGCGTCTGCCGTAACTTCGCAGCTGAATGTACCCGAGAGGCCGAAGTCGACGTTGCGGAGCGTTACCTGGCTCTTGTTCGAGTTGGCGGGCTGAAACACACATTCGCATAGATGTACAGAGCGAATGGATGTACCTGCGCGTATCACGCGCGGCGGCCTAGGTTATTACATCGGCGGCAAAGTCGTAATGTCATTTGCATGCGTAATGTGATTTGACGTAACGTTATTTGCTGAAAGATGTTACGTGTCGGCGAGATTAGATATTCGCTGCCTCGCGACGATGTAGTTGCGTCGGTATAATGGATAAGTATTATTAATTACTAATTGTTAAAAATGAACTCGATGTAAAGGTGCAAAGTGGGTGATTGTTTTAGCAGTTCATATTTCTTACGACAATTAATCATTTGTAATTACATGGAAAGCATATTTTAGGATCACTGATGAAGATTATCTTCTTTTATTTTCTTACATTTTTTTATGATGCCAGAAAAAAATTTAAAGAAACGCAGCATTCCGCGTTTTATTAAATATTCCACGAATATTCTAGCTTTCGTCGCGTCGAAGGATGAGCTGGTCCACTTGAGGAAAGTCACCTTATCAGAAATTATCCGACACTCGACTAAAGTGGCCCGAGAAGCCAAGCTGGTAACGGAAGTAGAGACGAAGCAGCAACAAGCGCGCGCGAGAGGTCGGGCGGAGGAAGGTTTAATCGGAACAGGCAAAACGAAGCATGCATAATTAGCGGGGTTTAAATAATGAAAGAGGAAGAAGCACACAAGTGAGCGGGGACGCGCCGAAGACTGGGGCGAGAAAAAGGAAGGGTGAACTGCAAGCTCTTTGACGAGCGAAGAAGGAGCTTGAAAGGCAAGTGAACTCTTTCCTCGTTGATTTATGTGGGCACCCTTGCGCGCGCGCGCGCTCACAAGGAGTTCCTCTACAGACACGGGAACAAAAGCCCCGGCACGCCGCACGGGAGGAATAAATATGAGACCATAGCACTCTCGGTCTCGGTGCTATCTAGGGAACGATCTCCGGTGTGTAACGTGTTGTCGTTCTCCCCGACTGGCAATGACATTGATACCCTCGTGCGAGACACTCAATATTTTTGGGATATGAATCGATCATTCACAGACTACTAATATCCGGCGCAACAATCTCACGCGAGATATCAATTCTGTCAGACGAAGTATCAATCTGGTGCATGAAAAATTAATGAAGCTGTTGAGTATCGAACGGAATCGTATACTTGAGAACAATATAGAAAAGATCGGCAAATAATTATTTATTAAAAAATCGTTATTATATTCTTTTCCTGTCTGTAAATTAATATAGATCTATTTTGTTAAATTATGAATTAAAACAGTTATTTTCTGCTAGTGATAATTTACTGATCATAGTTCCTTTATAATAATTCTTTTTCATTAATTTCAACAATATCATCTTTAGTATGAAATTATTATTTTTAACTTCTTCCACGTTAGAAAACTTGATTACGCGCCCGTTGCAATAAATTTACGTTCTTTTATAGATCGTTACTTGTCCGATACTTGTCGGAATTGTAGAACGGTCACGCGGTGTCAATATGCTGGAAGCGCGATATCTATACTTCTCGAACGAGCATCTGTAGGTACTTGGTTTGCTCGAGAATTGCAAGTAGATATTGGAAACGAAGGCCATCACGACTTCGGGCACGCCATTGTAGAATAATAGGTCGGTACTCACAGTGCCGTCCGTCGAACTTTTTGTTTGCTAACCCAACTGCACGTTGTCTCTAACATCACAATCATTTCACATAGTTACCACTCGGTTCCGCCCTTTTCAGTGTGAATGTAATTGCGAGAATCGCCAAACACGATTTGCAATGAAAGTATCCGGTTTCAACGGGCGCACGTGCAAAAAGTACGTTAAATATGCTGAGATGTACAGTATCGAGCTTGATATTTCATCGCGAACGAGCTTTTGACACACTGCATAATATTCTGCGTTACAGCATTGCGCCTGAGCGACGCTTTGTTGACTCGTGCAAACGTTTCGCGATTCTCCGCAAACGCTCAGTCGAATTGGTTAACACAATGTTTAGCACTTTCGGTATACTCAGAATTTCCACGTGCGGAATCCCGATAACAACAGCAGCCTTTACGTGCGCGTAGAATGAAATTTATTATAAGAGAAGTTTTCATTTTCATATTTAACCGCACGGCGCACAACATGATAACACAATAATATAAGTTTACAATCGCACGAACAATCAAATATTGCGACGAACAACAAAGTAAATTTTATTTTTTTCCAAACCTCCGAGCTTGCTATGCGCGTGTTAACTATTCATTCTCAATAAAGGTCTATTAAAAATAAAACATATCTGGTATTGCGGTTGTATTGCAATATTAACAATTCGAGCAAACAAGATACATCTCAAAATCGTGCAAACCACATTTCCGATGGAGATCCGGCCAGGAATATACCTCTACGTATAGTAAATCAAATATCACTCTGGGAAAAAAAAAGCGACCAAGTAACAAAACAATTTTTCCCCGTTGTCTCTCCCGGGAGGAGGGACATTGTCCGGGTGTCGCTCGGTTGAACGTATTTTTCGAAATCGAAGCTTTTATACCCCTCACGGTGCGGTGCATTACTTCCCGTTCGTCACCGGGAGAACGGCCGCCGCGCGAGCCGTGTTCCGAAACGATAAACGTAAACGGGAACGCGCGGCGCGTTGTCACGGTTTGTCAGGTCGTTCATTCGGCTGTACCGAAACACAACGGGACCGTGGGGCTTGTTTTTGGCGCAGCGCGCGCGTGCAGGCGGTGGCGTCGCGACGCGACGCGACGCGGCCGTTCGATTGGCGGCCGCGACATCACCCCGAAAACTACCGTGCCCAACGCGCGTAACAGCCTACGGAAATGTTCGAGCGATGATAAAAGCGCCGGAGCGCTGACTGTTTTACGACGATTACAGCGGTCAAGGGTGCTGTTAACGAGGCACCGTCCGGCGCTGCGGTTACAGTGATACGATAAAACCTGATATTTCGTTGTTTCCTAAATCCTGTCGATTCGCGCGGCTCCGTCGAAAAAATAGCTGTGCTTTTACAACCATTGTTTTGCATCGGGGTGTCCCAATTGCTACAGCTGGTGCTGCATTGTGTGTTCCAACCGTTGAGATTTAAAAAAAAATTTTTTTTAAAGATGCGCACACCCGAAACATATTTTAAAGGAATAGTTTGGCTGTGCCAAAAAAAAATTGTGAAAAAATGAAACTAAAGATTTATCAATGCAAACGGCAACAGTAACGATAAATATATTGGAGATTCCACACACTTTTTCGCAAAATCTAAGCTACGTTTGTTTTGAAATTAATGTTATCCAAGAGAAGAAAATGCACTCGATCATTTATATTTCATTTTTTGATCATGCAACAACTAATTTAAAAAGTCTAATTTAATTTAATATTACAACTAAAGGTTTCTTCAATGTATAGAAAACTAAGCATGAATACTCCACTCAAGTATTAATACATTTATATACAAGGTGCCTGGGAGAGATTACGAAATCTCTTGTGAGCGAGTAGAGCGCAATAAGCTGAATAAGAAAGTTCTTTACTATTTTGCAATAATTATTAAGATAATAATTAAAAAGAAGTAGCAAATAAGCGCGCGTTTCGCGCGGCTAAATCGTAAGGTGTACACTCTAAGCGTGACAGCGGCGAGTGTCGCGCGGCAACGAAAAGTTTAATCACTCGGCGAGGACATAAGTAACACGTGAGCAGTGAGTGGGCAGAAGCTTTACTTTTCGTTGCCGTGCAACACTCACTGCTGGCATGCTTAAACTATACATTTCACAGTTTTGCCGCGCGCATCGCGCGCTTATTTGCCAATCCTTTTTAATTATTATCTCGAACATTATTGCAAAAAATGCAAAATGATAAATGACTTTCTTGTTCAGTTTATTGCGCTCTACTCACTTACGACAGATTTCATAATACACAATCTATATATTTATATTAAGTGCCTACCCCGGTACCACTTGAGGGAATAGAGTGGCGCCGCCTCAAGATCAGACACTCTATATATTTATATTAAGTACTATTACGGATATTATCGTTATTTTGATTAAATTCTTTTATTTTACCATATTTCCTGTGTAAAATTATTACTTTGATCCACTTTTGATTTTCGGTAATTGTACACCAATATATTATTATCTGTACAGAAATAATTCGTCCTATATTTTATTAACGTTATTTAAATGCCAAATATTTCCCTTTTGGAATTCACGAGCGCATTGACTTTATCGAAATTTTCGCATTAATTTCGTTCATAACCTCAACTGAAAAATTTTTATCTTTGATAAAGAAATAATACAAAGCCGTTATCAATAACAATGCCGAAATTGCGCGCAGAAGAGACATTCAATCCGGACAAAAGTAAAAAATTCCCGGACAACGCGATATTGGTACAAGACAAGCGGCAAGAAGTAAAAACGACTTACGTCGACGTAAATCCCGGAGATGTTGAAGATCTTGGTGGTCGGGTCTTCGGTGGGCGAGAATCGGTAGAATTCGTGCCTGCCCCGGTACCACTTGAGGGAATAGAGTGGCGCCGCCTCAAGATCATAATTACACCGCAGAATCGCCTCCTGACCACGTTGCACCACGTCCGGAACTACTTCCAGGCTGACTTCCCGCAGGCAACTCGCACCTTTCAGGAAAATGAGAACAGGAATGAAGCATTAAGTCTGGTGCGCATCATTAGTCCGCTTTTACTCGTCGCGCGAGAGGTTGCACAGCACGCGTCAGCGAGAAATTGCAATTCCGCCGAATGACAATTTCCCTCATCCCCCTCCCCGGGCCGCCGCCTCTCCCGCAACTGCATGCAACCGCAAACACACGCACGCGCGAGCTCTCACGTTTACGCGGGTGCGCACACATCTACGTACACATACGTATATTAAACCACCCCGTTTCGTGCCGCCCCATTTTCGCGTAACCTATATGAGGTGCTCCGCAAACTAACCCTCGCGCTCGAACAAGCGCGGTGTTTTTTTGCTGAAACTCCGTTATACGAGGATTATCGATGATTTCGACCTATTAAACTGGAAAGAGCCGAGCGCCGAGGGCATTCGTATTAAACGGGGAGGGGGGGGGGGAGGGGAGGGAGAGAGCTGTGACTTCTTGGTGTGCAGGATGAAGTTCTTATTACGTAGTATTCCGGACTGTACGGAACTGGGTAGGGTGGACGAATCGTGAATGGGAACAAAACTCCGCGGGGTTGCTTCCCTTTTCAGAATCATCAGCAACATATGCCATGCCGACAATATTTTAGGAAATATAACACTTTATTCTACTACATTTTCACACCGCACGCAATTTGTGTTTACAAATGGATGCGCCATTTAAATATTTCGTCACATGTATTTCCCTTACTCTTACGTGCTAACGGCTTGTTCATAAATAATGTGTGTCGTGTATTAAATACTAACTCTTACGAAAGCAAAATGTGACGCTTCCCAACATGTGATTACAGTTTCACGTGATTCGAAAAATTCAACATCTGCCTTTAAAGTAAAAATGTTAATTATTTTCAAATTTTAAAAAATTCAAACCATATATTACAGTTATGATATATTTTATAAAGTTTTGTACCTTTATTATCCTACGCAAATTTAATACCGCACACCCAGCTTATAAAAAACTCACGTTACGCTGAGCAAGCAAGTACGTAAATAAATAAATAACCTGTTTTATTTGAGCGACTTACATGCGGAATGAGTTTGCTCGAGTAGGAAGAACTGACCGTGTTTAATATAGCGCACATGTTACACAAAGTCCTCAGAAATGAGAAAGAAACAGACGGCGTCACGAAATCGTGCCATATACGAAAAGCCAGAATGTTCACAAATATAAGAAAAAGAGTATTAACAGTAAACAAAGCTGCGTCTAATGTAAAACGTGTTTTAGTAATCTGTCTTAAAAGAACGAAATGTGCTACACGAAAAACGCACGGATTAGTTAAAAAAATTTTCAAGGCACTGAAATTTCACAATACATTTAATATACACATTAACAACCAAGTAAGTTATTTTTAATTTTACAAATCATATTTAGCGCAAACTGCAAACAACTGCGATTTTATTATACAAATTATGCAAATTGCTGGAATATCGAAGCGAGTGTTCCCGTCAATCGGATACTTAAAAGAACTTGTAACAAAACTCAAATCGCCTCGTAAACAATTTAACGGTGTCGCGTCTCGAAACATTTCTCATTCTGCCTGAGGAGAGTGTCAGCTAAATCCTCTGATGGCAAAAAGATGCGAATTTCCACGTTTACTAGAAATAACTCGGGAAGTTGAGAAAGCTTTTTCCTGCTTAATTTTCGTTTGAAAGGCATCCTGAAAAATGTAGACCGACATGACGCCGGTTCTAAGTTTCCGGGGACTTCTTTTAAGGGACGCAATACTAGCGACTCTCGTTTCCCCTTGCGTTAATTCTTCGCTGTGCTGCCCGACGTACCTACATTTAACTCTCGAGATCCCAGCTAGTTTTTATGCCGCTCCTTACAACTAATTATTCGTAAAGAAAGCTAATTTAACGAAACACTTAACGTTTCAGCAATCTCCTTTGAAAGAAGGAAATGCGCCACGCAACACGAAATTGCCTCGCTCGTCGACGTCAATTGGAACGATGGATTTTTATACTTTCATAAAGGCGCTCGTTGCTGTAAGCGGTGGAAGCCAATATGATGGCAGCAGTATATTTTATGAAACCAGTGAATAAGGTCAAACCATTCTGTATCGTCTGCGTAAATATATACATAACAGAACATTTATTATTATTAATTTTTATATTATACATAAGGAAAACAATAATGAAAAGGAAAGAAGTTTAACGAGCTTGTAATAAATAAATTGTATGAAAAAATACCTCAATTAAATATGAATGCATCGCGAAATTGTCGAGTAATTCCGTTTTCACGAAGCAATTAAATATACAGAGCTATTCTTTACGTATTTATTATGTTGTAAAACTAAAGAAAATTCTTCATAGTGTCATAGTTGCGATACCCGAATAGTAAATCTATAATTATTTCCTCCTCATAATTAGCAAGTGGATTTTCTTTCTGATGAAAAGTGGTTGCGTTCGTTCTTTTCGCCCGCCGCTATCGTCTCGTCGCCTCCCCGCCACCCTCAACTTTGAAATTTATAACAAAGTTTTAACAACTCGTCTTCCCTATGTTGCGAGTAAAGGAAGTCAGGGATCCATCGCATCGAAAGCAGCGTAACGAAGAGAAATGTGAATTTGAATACTCTTAGCCTTTAACGTCAGAACTCCCGAGTAAATTGCGATAATTTGACCGACCGCGTAAAGATTAATCTTAATATTTCGGTGAGAATATCTAAATGATAATAAAATTAGATATCGTTCTAATTCTCAGTAACATAATTTCAAGATACTAGAGCAATTAATTATATACAAAAACATTGTTGTTATAACAAAATGTTTTCTCGACAGTTAATTTAACGTTTCTGAGAACCGGTTGAATCGCGCTAAACTTTAAGTTTATGCATATCTATCTATATTATGCACCTCTTGTTCTATCATCTATCATCTCAAGTGAATCACGTTCGGATTTCAGTTATTGCAGATTTATGTTCGTTGAAAGTGTCAGTAGAATACACGATACCAGACAAGGAACGTAAATCGTAAATCTCTCAACGCCTAATTATAATAAATCACCAGCGATGAATAACTCTGTCGGTATTTAATTGCGTACGTACGTAAAAATATATTTATATTGGCTATACGCTTGGCTGAATCGTTATTAATTCTGAAAAAAATATCGGTTATGATTAGTCAGTACTCTGACCAAAACCCATTTTACAAACGGTTTAAAAAATTGCCCTGATCGCAAACGTTGATCAAAATATTGGGTGAGTTTACAACACGCCGCCCATACTGATCTCATATTTAAAAAATAACATTGGTTTTTCCGGCCGCTGCAAACAGATTTGATTGCAATAAAATTACGTCGATTTAACTGAACGGAAAGATTATCCTGGAAATACCGTTCGAAAGTAAAACCCTGCCACGATATTCCGCGCGGAAGTATTAAACGGTGCAATCGACACGAATAAAACCAGTTTCGTTAAATATGATCGACGCGATTTACGAAAGTGGGCTACACCGTTCCGACAGCTTCCGCGCTGAGTTTCGTGATATCTATGCGGCCTGAGTGCACCAGCCGTTCGGTGTAATTCCAGTGCGATTCTAGCACTTCCGTCGCGGGCAAATCTACACCCGCGAAGCGAAACGCGCCCCAGGCAAATTAAGCCGCACTCGTAACTGCGAACGACTACAATCAGAATTGCAAAGTCCCGTGTACGCTCTTTTCCCCCGCGTCTCTTTTTCTTCGCCACGCCAGACGGCCGACCTGAGAGCATGAGGCGCTTTGTGCTTTGTTTCACGCGTGAGACGCACCTCGCCGTAAGCAACGCACACACAGCACAGAGATCAAGAGACATGCGAGATAGAGAGAGACATACGATCAGTAAATTGCATGCGATTCACCGATGCATCTGTCAAGCCAATTCTGATTTATTTTTATAACGCAACAACGTCAATCGCAAAAATATTAACAAAAACAAATTAGTAAAGGATCGGAAGCAAAATAACGGCACGCAATAGACGGATGAAACAAAAATATCAATTTTGTTTTCTTGTGAAATGTGTAAGCATTTTTTATCGCTATGTGAACGTGTAAAGTACGGTCGAATATCTGCAATCTCATAGAAATACAAACGGACATATTTCACTTCAGTCACAGTGCGTGCAAGTTGGTCGTTTCTTTACAGTCTTTCATAGAGTAATGTAGATAAACGAGGAATACTGCCAAGTTTAGAAAGAGAGAGACGACCGTTGCTCCCCTCACTTTCCTCTCCCACTTTTCACATGCTTCAGCGTTCAACAATGCTGAAGCATGCGGCATGTATTTTGTTGCCGGTTTTCCTGCATGCTGTCCTTGCAAATTGCAATGCATGCTTGCTCGCATTCTGCGTTTATAAGATACCGAGTTTCGCTATTACATGTGGCAAGCATGATTGCGATATGTTCTTAATTGTTCTAAACAATCGCCTGAAATTTGTCACGTAAACTAAGCCCTTCGTCCATGCGCTATGTTATTAAGAGATATTCCTAAATGATTAAATATCGATTAATCCTTACGTTGGGGGGATTAAAAGTAACATTAAAGTTACTTATTAGATGACACGTCGCGTAAACAACCTGCGCGAAAATAAAGTTTTAATTTAAGTCCGGTGTTCACTTGGTGTAAATGCTAACGAATGTTTCTTCCTCACGCGAAAGACTCGCTTGGGACAGATATACTGCAGAATGCGTCCCCGCTACCATCAAAAGTCCCTCGTCGAATATGCCACTGTATCTAGCCGGGCTTATTGCTATTGCATAGCATAGAGATCGAGGGAGGAGGAGAAGGAGGAGGAGTAAAACTTTCGACTTTAGGGAATAGTGGAACTGTTTGATGAGTTACGGCGAATCGAACGGAAATAACAAACAGGTTTAGCATTGAAAACGTCGGAATGTATTTTTGTTCGATATACGTTATGTACATCTTACAGTATGTACATAGATACGTATGTGCACATATGTGTGCTGCAAGCAAGTCGATGAATTTTTCGAAGCT